TAGATGTCATGGAGCATTTTCTTTTCTTACAGAAAATTTCTTGATTGAATTTATCTCGCTCTCTTATTTCACATTTAGTTTGCAAAGCAAAGAGTCTGAGGTTTGAAATGGTTTGATTGCAATTATTTATCCCTTATTTCTTCCTTCCTAATTCTATCATTTAAACACTTTCTTCTACATTATGTAGTGAAAAATAAAGATGTCAGAATGAACTCTGTAGGATATAGTCATTTCTTTTTATCCAAGTGTCAGCCCTAATGTTTCCAGTCTACCGTGGGTTTTGCTAATTTTTTTTGGACTTGGAGCTTCATTTTCTAAGCATTGGCATTCAGAATGCCAAAAATATTTTGTTTGTATTTTGCCTTTTTTTTTAATGGTAAAATGATATTGCTATCAACTAGAAGAGTAGAAGCTTGTTAAACTTAAAATTCCTAGACTTTGATTTCATCCTAATTAAGTAAATCTTGTCTTCCATTTCTGTCCTGTGCAGTATGTTCCTTCCAATGTAAGGTAAACTGGCAGGGTATCTTAGAGTTTAGGAAACTGCCTTAGAATAGAGTCCTCTTCAGAAACAATGGTAAGTTTCTCCCAACTTGGCAATTACTGTTAGCTTTTACTTAGGGATATAGTATATATTGCATTTTAAAATTCTTCGGACTTTTAGAGCAGCCTAAGAATGTCATCCTTTAAGCTTGGTTTTAAGCGAAAATATCAACAAAGAGAACACACGTCAAGAATATTTATAGTTGCGCCAAGTGTGAAGGTCTAAGTCATCCAGTATTAATAGCTATCATTTGGTCTTGTGTTTCTTATTCACCTGTAGCAGTTTGTTAGATATCATGATATAGGTGAGAGTCTAACCAATAACAGGAATTGTAATCGTCCCAAGGTATACTTATGAAATGAGAAAGGATGAAGGCCAACAGCAGAACTAACATTTGAAGGACAGGCTAACGAGGAGATAGCAAAGTAATGGTCAGAGAGGTAGGAGAGAAACCAGGAGAGTATTGTGAAAGAAGCCAAGGAAGAATTTCAAGAATATTGTTGACTTCCTTGGGTGCTGTAAGATGAGAACTGAAAAATATCTATTGAATTTTGCAATTAGGAGGTCATTGCTGACCTTTGCCAGAGCAGTTTCAGTGAGTCCAGTTGCAGTGGGTTAAAGGGTAACCTGGTAATTGGTACAGGAAAACAGTTATTGTGGACTACTTACTCATCATATATGAAGGAAAAGAGAGAGGTGGCAGCTAGAGGAGAAAGCAGTATTCAGGAGGGACTATTATCTTACAAAGACAAAAGAGACCTTGAGCATATTTATAGGCTGTATGGAAGAAGCCAGTAGATAGAGAATGATTAAAAATATAGACGAAAGATGATAACCAATGAAATAAGATCCTAGAAAAAGTTGATGGAAGTTGGTCTAAGAACACAGGATTAGCCTTCAGCAGGATTCCTCTGTTTTAAGAGGAATGAAGATAAAGGTGGTCACAAAATATGTGTTATAGGGGATGTAAGCAGAAAGTTTGATATTTACAAGTTTGACTTTATAAAATACAAGGTCAAGCTATATGCTACTAAGAAATTATTAGAAATTATACCAGCTAGCATTTGAGTGCTTACATATGTTGTGAACATTATTAAGAGTTTAAAAAACAGCATCTCATTTAATTTCATCCTACAGCTCTATGAAGAAGATATTATCATTACTTCTCAAAGAAAGCGAAGCTTAATGATTTTAATTAACCTGTCACAAAAACATTAAGTATCATATCAGAACTAGTCATTTGAACCTAGATGGTTCTAACTCCAGGCACCTATGCTTTTAACCACAGTTGTGGTGAGTTAGGGGTGTTGAAGAGAATGGTGGACATTTGGCAGAATGGAACAGAGAGACTATCATGGACCTGTAAAAGAATTGTTGGTCTATACCCGTCAAAGAAAATGAAAGATGTGTGAAAATAAGAGCTAAAGTATATCACCCACCTGAGAAAAATACTTGAAAGAAGAGAAAATAGCAAAGGGATCAGAAAAGAGACCTCAGGATGGAGAAAAGATAGAAAGTAGGTGAGCAATGGAACATGGACACAATAAAATCTAAAAGAATAAGGACAGACTCAGGAAATGTGTAGTGTTAGTGCAAAATAAGGTTTCTTGAAACAGAAAATACATAACACAAGATAATTTCAATAAGATTGTAGAACAAAACATACTAAACTATTTCAGCAAAATTTAAGGTTAATGGGAAGAGAGGGAGGGAAGTGAAACTGTTGCAAGTCTTGTTGATGTGGACAGGGAGTAGAGAAATAGAGCATTTTGGTGGGAGAGAGATCTTTTAAGTTTCCATCTTATGTAACTAAGCACTAAACCAGATAATGAGGAACATTTTAAAATAATAAAAAACATGTAGTTATACAGAAGATAACAGTCATAAACCTAAATACACCAAACAACATAGCAACTAAAGTGTAAAACAAAAACTATTAGAAATGCAAGAAGAATTTAAAATATAGTGGAAGAAAGAGGTCAATATACTTGTCTCAAGAGGATGAACTGGTAGAAAAAATAATATAAGAACATAGAGAAATCAAATCAATAAACTTGAATATATACACTCATCCCTCAGAATAAACTTTATTTTTGTATGTACATGGAACATTAACAAAAATCAAACATGTAGTTGGAAAACCTTAACAAGTTAACCTTAACAAATTTTGAGAAAATAAAATAGATTTTACAGACCACATTCTCTGATCACAAGCCAATAACATTAGAAATACATAATGATAAATAACTAAAACTTCAACTACTTTAAATTTGAAAAACACATTCTTTGACATAACTAAGATCAAAGAAGAGGTTAAAAAAAACTACAGACTATCTAGAGAACAATGAAAAAATACTCTTCGTTCTCAAACTATGTATAACCTCTACTCAGAGGAAAAATTATGGCCTCAAATTGTTTCTTAATTAAAGAAGAAATACAAAAGATGAAAGAACTAAATAATCATCTTAAATTCAAACAGCAAGAAAAATTAACCAAAAGAAACTAGTGAGAAGGAATTAAGGTAAAAGCCCAAATCATGGACCTAGAATATCAAAAATGGTACATACAAATTTCTAGGCTGATCTCTGTGCAAACTCAAATATCAAGTGTCTCAGAGCTCAGTGGTCATGGCAGTGGAGGTAGCATATAAATTCTCTGAAGATAATTTTGGCCCTGGCCATTTATCCCCACTACCCCTTATTCATCTACCTCAGATTCCTATCTGGAACTCTTGGTGGCCAGTTACACAGGGTTCGATGACAGCGTAACTGTAAGGCAGGAGGGGATGGATTCTGTAGTCAGGCTGCCTGTAGTTGACGCTCCTGCTCTAATAACAGTTCCCCAGAAGGAGATTTGAGTCTTTGGAATGTTAATCAGCAAGAAAAATCTCATCTAGGAAAGACAAGACCCCAAAACATTACTAGATTATAGTTTTATGCATTAATGGAAATTACAGAAGAACAGATATGTGTACATTGTATTTTTTCTTTTCATTCTTTTTCTTTATCATACCTCTCTAGAAAATTGTTCCTATCAACAGCAGTTCTTAATCTCTGAGGCTTAATAAACTAGACTTCTTGTTGCAATCTTAAGGCAGAAATTTCATCATTTAATGTTATGAATTTGGGTAAGTTTTATATTGCTGTTGGTATTTACTGTGTATTTCAGGTTTTCCCTTCTTCTGTCTCTCAGCACTGTCACTGACAGTGATCATTAATGATCAACAGCTCATGTTTATTTCTGACTCGGTTTGAATTGATAGCAATAGTTCATTTGAATTGCTTGATTTGTGGAGGAGATGAGGGAGGGGAAGGAGGAGGTATGGGAGACTGTAATTGTTTTTTTGTAAATTTGTAAAACCAGACTATGATAAGAGAATAGAAAATGTCTTCCTTGAGGCTTTTGCTACTAATTAGAAGGTGAGGAGTGTGGGTTTGGGTGTGGGTGTGTCTGTATGTGTGTATATATGTGTTCTTTACAGAAGAAGTGCAGGTTTATTTAGCATCATGTTTGATAAAATATGGGAAGGGGGAGAGGGGACCTTAAACACTAGAAAACATCTCCTATAACACTTTGTAATGTCTACTATATTTATATTGGTTTTGAGGCCCTTTTTATTTTAACTGACCCTGGAAAACTACTAGATATAACAATAATAATAATAATAATATTAATAGGATAAAATTTGTTTTAAATTCTTATTATTCTACTAGTTGGGATTTTTTAAATTATATTTGGAGGGAAACCATACAAAAGAACTTTTATAAATTCTGTGAATTGTGTATAGATCATGCCCAAAGATAAAATTGCACCTACACATGGCACCTTCCTTTTTATGTAATTTTACCCACTTTCCGAATTTATAATAATACAGCTAAGCTTTCTCCTGATTATTAAACTGAATTTCCTCTTTTCTTTCAGAGAACAACTGGAGAAATCATTTTATTTTACTGTTCATTTTTCTTTTAATAATATTAGCCTCAAAAGAAAGTAGCAGGAAAACGTAGTATCTTTAGAGCAAAGAGCACAATGGCGTAGTCTTACCGTCAGGCTAGTTCTGTTGATGGATATCTGGGAGCTTTTACATTTGTCCATTTACTCCTGAAACCAAATCACCCTAGATATTGCACCTAGCTTCATTTCAAATCACTGTAAAACGAGTGTGCTAGATACTTTGTCTTTGGCCTTCCCTCGCTATTGACCTTAATTATTATATATCAGCTTTTTAAAAAGCGCTCCTTAGGTAAATGCGTCTTTTCTCCTTCCAAGCATACTTTTCAAACAGGGTGTTTTATGTCATTTATGAAGTAGTGTAGAGTTGTTTTTATTCACCATTCACTTCACTTTTTTCATGCACCTTCATGGATTTTCTAAAATTTTTTCTTGTAGTTTTAGGTTTTAAAAAGAGAAGGTGAAATCTGAACACAATCTTTGTTTTCTTTGTATCTGTTAATAGGATGAATATAAGCCAGAAAAGGCCCTGTCTGAGGAGGATCTGAAAAACGCCGTGAGTGTGCACCACGCGCTGGCGTCCAGGGCCACAGACTACGAGAAGAAACCGAACGTGCTTAAACTTAAAACTGCTGATTGGAGGGTCTTGCTTTTTCAAGCCCAGTACGTTTCATTGGTCTGGTTTGTTTTTGTTTCTTAGTTTGCATGGCACCACTTTATAGCAAGAAACAGAATCAGGATTTGCAGGGGAAATATTTTGATTTGGAGTCAAAGTCATTAACTGGTTGCATTAGAAAGACAACTACCTGGGAAAACCAGAATAAGAAATAGAAGCCCTGGGTTCAAGTTTTTGTTTGCTACGAAGTAGCCCTGTGCCTTTTAGCCTAGAACTTAATCTCTTCGTGAATAAAATATGAGGGTTTAGTATACAAGTTCTGTCACATGATGAGTAAAATAGACCTGGATTCAAGACACCATCTCCTAGCTCTGTCGTGGCACGTAATTTAACCTCTTTGAACCTCAGCTTGTCACTAGTGTGGATAATAATGTTCATCTCCTAGGGTTCTTGTGAGGATTAAAGGAGATCAAGTATACAGAGTTCCCCACACAGTGCCTGGCACGTAGAAACTATTCAGTAAGTGTAGATTTCCATTTTATTCTCCTCTCTCCTCCTGAGCTCTAATGGTCTGTGATTAAACTAGAAGGAGAAGATAAAACCATATTGTGCGCAAGGAAATGGGTAGATTGCCAGTTTAATAAGGGGCCCGCTATGGCCCTTGGATTAGAAGTAGAACATTCCACATGGAGAATTGTGGATTTGTGAAGTGAGAAACTGGATTTTCAGAACTGAGCCTCTAGTGCAGGAATTTTATAGGAGCACACATAGATAGCATCAGTGTCCATGGCAGACAGTGTTAATTATTCATGGCATTCCTTTCACAACCTGAACTTGACCTCAGAATCACTCTCAACACAACACTACCAACGCACTGCATTTGGCACTGGGACTCAAATTTGGCATCAGGGTGGTGAACACAGGTATCTGCGTGCTTGTTGATCAGAGCAATGTAAGATCAAAAAAAAAGAAATGAGAACAAGAGCAGGTACTCTGGTGATGTGTGGATGTTGAACTTGCGAAGGTATAAGACAGCTGACATCAAGTGAGGAGGAAGTTGTAAGGAACTCCAAGTTACACAGGACTCTTTCAGTGTGGGAGTGAGACAGTGTTAACACCTCAAAGGGAACCATTGCCAGATGCATAGTTATAGCAATCGCCATAAAAGTCCTTCACATTATTCTATTCGCCAACATTATTTTTTTTAAATCTAAAATACCAGATGTGGTAACTAAGGAGATCTAATTACTTCAGATAGAACTGATGCAGAAATCAGTAAATTGCAATAACAGAGCTGGAGATATCAGGTTAGAGGGGCGCACGGGGTGCAGCAGGGAGTGGTTTCAGGTGAGGGTGGTTTCCCTCTGAGTGGTCAGTGAAGAAGATGATTGTGGATTGGCTGACGTTCCGTCCATCTTTTGTTTATTTGTTATATATGTGGTGGATAAGCTACCCTGGTTTACAACTATTTCTACCATTCGTTTATGAATTCACAAATATTTATTAAGTGTTGTCAGTGCTGGGCTGTGCAAATATATGACATATAAGTTACAAGTATGATGATGACATCAGATATTTCCACTTCCTCTCAGGTGGATTTTACAACATCCCATTGAGGTATACTTGACATACCATTTAATTTCACCTGTTGTAAATGTACAATTCAATGATTTTTAGCAAATTTACAGAATTGTGCAACCATTGGCACAATCTAGTTTTGGAACACTCTCCTATTTTGCAGTCACTCCCCATTTTCACCCCCAACCCAGACACCACTAATCTCCTTTGTGTCCCTGTAGTGTTGCCTTTTCTGGACTTTTCATGGAAATAGAGTCATACAATATGTGGCCTTTGTGTCTGGCTTCTTTCACTTAGCGTGAAGTTTTGGGGGTTCATCAGTGTTGTAGCATGTGTCAGCACTTCAGTCCTCTGTTGCTGAGTAGGTTTCAGCTGTGTGGATGTAGACCACATTTTGTTTATTCATTCACTAGTTGGTGAACATTTGGATTGTTTCCCCTTTTTAACTCTTAGAAATAATGCTGCTATGAACGTTCACATGCAAATCTTTTTGTGCCTATATATTTTTATTTCTCTTGGAGTATACCTAGGAGTAGAATTGCTGGGTTGTATGATAAATGTATAGTTAAATTTTTAAGAAACTGTTAAAACTGCTTTCCAAAGTGGGTGTACCCTTCTACATTCCCTCTATCACTTATTCCTCAGTTGGATTTTAAAATCAAATTATGTGATTGGAATAGATGAGTTACTTTTTAATTAATTTTTGACATAGCCTAGTATCAAACAGAAAGTAAGGGGTTAATAAATGTTTATTGTCAGTGATTGTGCTTTTTTTCCTTCTGCATCCTCGAGGGATAATCACAGCCTTACGCTATGATGATCATAGGTTCCAGGGTCTTTCATTGTCATGGTGATTGCTGTTGAAAATGTTAATCTCCAGTGAAGTTTTGCCAGGGATTAATTGTTCCAAGAAGAAGAAATGATATTATGTGCCATTTTAAATCAGTGATGAGAAATGGGCGAGGTGATGCACTTAAATATAGACATACCTGATGTAAATATATCTGTTTCTCACAGGAGTCCAGAGGAAATGCAAGGGTGGATAAACAAAATTAATTGTGTTGCAGCTGTGTTTTCTGCACCACCATTTCCAGCAGCCATTGGGTCTCAGAAGAGGTTCAGCCGCCCACTGCTGCCGGCCACTACAACAAAATTGTCCCAGGTGAGTCGTTTGGTTGGTGCTTTGACCTTGGAATAAAGCACTTTGTAAAATAATCTTATTACTATTTTTATTTGAATAATACTCCATATTTTGGGGGCAGGGATGAGACCCTGCCCTCAAAGGGCATGTTGTATAAATGGGGCAAAATGCAGTGTAGTGCATTTTACACTTCATATAGGAAACAGACACAATTGAGTCAAGGTTGGTAGGACACATAATTTGAATTAGTTTCTAAAATTTATATTAGTTTACTACTCAGTCATACTGACCTGGTTTTTTGTTTTTGTTTTTACTAACAACTCATATTTCTTAAATGACTGGCTAATGTTAGATGTACTGGTTTGGAAACAAGCTTTTTTATTCATTCATTCATTTTTTTCGTTTTATTGAGCTTTTCCCATATCCCAGGCTATATTTGATGCTAGGTGTATAGAAATAGTCCCAGAGATCCGCCATTCATAGTACAGTGGGGCAGAGTGTTCCTTGCTCAGGAGCTAAGTGGACCGTGTGGGTTTTCCTAGTAGTGAAGACAGAGTGCACCAGAACTCTGTTCCACAAGTGTTCCTGCTGTCAGAATGATCTTGCTAAAGATCACATTTCATCGTGTCCCTCCTACTTAAGACTATTCTAAGGACATGACATACAAGCTAGGTTTGCCGATTTTAAACCTTTCTGCAGTGCCCCCGTTGCCATTGACTGGTTAAGGATTTTGGAAGCTACTTTGATGTCTTCATGAAGTTTTTATTGGTGCAATAGTAGAAGTAGTTTCCTCTGGGTCTGATCAACCAGGTCTTGATATTAACTGGCTCCCCCACACATCTGATTATCAATGATACATTTATTTAATAAATATTAAATTTTTTAGTCTATTTTTAGAGACTATTTTAGTCTCTGGAGATAGAAAGGAAATGAAACCCAGGCACTCTCTGGGCCTGGACTGGAAATACAGGCAAGCCAGTAGTTGTAACATAGTTTGATTAGAGGCACAGGAAGGATCAGTCCAGAGTGCTGTGAGGGTACAAGGAAGGGGCATCTAGTCTGGCCTTGGAGGTGAAGAAGGAAGTGTGGTATCTAATATGAATCTTAAAGGATGAGCAGCGGTTAGGTGTGGTGTAGGAAGAGAGAATGTTCCAGCAGAGGACCAGAAAGGTCCAGAGGAGGAAGCACTGGGATGCAGGAACCACACATGAGTCATCAAATGTGACTTGAACACAAATGTTCCTCTATGGAGGTGAGCAGAGGCCAAGTGATGAAAGCTCTTTTTGTCATGCACAGGATTTCGGATGCTTCACTGGTTCCCTAGCATCCTTAGGATAATAGTTTAAGCAAGGAAGTCATTTGATCAAATTTGTGCTTTAAAAGTTATTCTTGTTCCAACAGGAAGAAAGTATTAGCGGAGGAAACTACTATAAGCAGAAAGGCTAATTTTAAAGGCACTTTCAATAACGCAGAGGAAAAATAAGTTAGTTGTAGAAGAGACAGATAGAAGTGGAAGTATTAGAGAGATCTTGAGGGTGTAGAATGGATGGTCCTAGGGGCTCGTTGAAGTGGAGGAAGAAGGGCTGCCATCCAGGCTTGGGCATCTGGGGACTATGGTGTCTGTCCTGGCTTTTGGGACCTCATTGTCCCCTGGCTTCTCTCCTGTTGCTTCTTCCCAGGGCCCTTTCCTGGTCCTTTTCCTCTTTCTACCTCTGAATGTTGCAGTGCCCAGTGCTCAGAAGCAGACCAAAACAGACACTGGAGAAACAATTTTTTTGTAAGTTAGTTAAGGAAAAAAACAGGGACAACGTGGTGCCAAGAAAAGGGGAGAAAGGTCAGGGGAATTAGGACAAAAAATACCTCCTGTGAAGTGTCAGGGAGGTCATGGGTCCTTTGGTGAGAGCAGTTTCAGGAGTGATGGGAGGGGAGCCCTGTTGGTCTCCTTGGAGGAGGGAATGGAAGGAAGTAAGAAAGTGGGGGAAGGGAATGTGCACAGGTCTTGCCATAGGTTGATAAAAACAGACTGGAAGTAAGAAGAGAGGAGACATGGTTTTAGGAAAGGTTTTAGGAAAGATTCTTTTGTTTTTGTAAGTTCATGATTGTTATTAACACGAATTGGATGTTCACCATGCAAGCATCACTAGTACCATGTAGTTCATGTCGTTGTTAGTGCCATTGAGTGGATTCCGACTCCTAGTGACCCTGTGGACAGCAGAGCGGAACCCTGCCCAGTCTTTTCCACCATCCTCACACCTTCCAGCATTATATCAGACAATGCTCCACTGCTATTCATAGGGTTTTCATGGCCAGTTTTTTTGGAAGTAAATGGTGAGGTCCTTCTTCCTAATGTAGTGCATAGACTACTGAAAAAACTGTTAAGAATAGAAAGGACCGGGGCCAGCCCGGTGGCACAGCGGCTAAGTTCACATCTTCCACTTTGGTGGCCCGAGGTTCACTGGTTTGCATCCTGGGTGCGGACCTATTCATCACTCATCAAGCCATGCTGAGGCGGCAGGCATCCCACATAGAAGAGCTACAACTCTACAACTATGATCTACAACTATATACTGGGGCTTCAGGGAGAAAAAATGAAACAGAGGAAGATTGGCAACAGATGTTAGCGCAGGGCCAATCTTTCTCAAAAATTAAAAAAAATAGAAAGGACCAAGCCAGCTCACTTTATAAGGCAGAATGGCATTTAATTTTCAAGGATAATAGATGTTCTAAGAAAAAAGGAAAGCTTTACCTCTTATTGATGACCAGAAAGTGTGTTGGCAGACTTCTCCATCTACCCAACTAAAATATGAATTCTTGAAGCAAATACATTTCCCCACTTTAATTTTGGGTACTTAGTATAAAAGGTAAACCACATTGCGTAAGCTAAGAGGAGAAAAAACAGTTGAACAACTAGAAGCAAAAAATACCTTCAAAAGTTGGGTTTTGTTCTATTCACTTCCCTAAGGATTTTTCCATTTGTTATTTTTCAATAGACGCCTTTCTCACAGTCACTTCGAGAAAAGATCCGGGGGGAAGGTGAGTTGAAGTTAACGAGGAGCATTAATAACCATAGAGCACCATTAGAGTTTCTCCTTGTTCTTTCTGCACTATAGAATCTATATTTCTGTTTACTTTCTACTTTGAAAAATGTACTACTGTCCAATTTATGTATAGGCTATACATTAGTAAGTCACTTGTATGTGAAAATGAATGTGTTCATCTGTTTGTGTATTTTTACCATGAGACCAAGCAAGCAAGCACCTTTATCAAGGCAAAATCTCTTATTTTAAACAAATGTTTTACAGTGGGACTAAAAATAGAATGCATAAATTTTTTCCCTCATTTGTAACATAAAAAAATCCACAGAGATGCAAAAAAAATGCATATGTAATGTGATCAAAATGATGGATTCAAGATTTTAAATTAGAAAGCAATAACCAAAAAGAAACATCCTCCTGTGTCACATAAGACAAGAGGACCAAGCCGTTTTGGGAATTTCATTTCTTTGTAAAATAAGAAGATGATTTCCTCCCCCACACATAAATCGCCAAGCCTTTGTGGGCCTCGGTGTTCCATCTGGAAAATGAGGAGCTCATTCTAGAATGTTTTTCAGGTTCTTTCTATCGTTAGCTCTGTGTTTTTTGCCTAGGTCATCATGTTTGTTTACTAAAAATGAAAAAGGTGTTTTACCTTAGAGTTTAGAACAAATACGTGAAAACAATCGTGTGATAAAGAACAGTTAGAAAGGGAGAGAGAAGCGTTAGTTGGCACATAGCCCTGGTGGAGGGGTTTGGGGTGCCCCCCACTCCAGATAGAGATTCTTGGGGGATGTCTTTGCTGGAGTCATAGTGCACCTTCAGTGGACCCTGGAATGTGTGTCTGGGTAGGCCCATGAGTCCTCGCCCTTAGCCCAGGCATTCCCAACCTCAGCACTACTGACATTTTGGCCTGGGTATTCTTTGTTGTAAGGGGCTATCCTGTGAATGTTTAGCAATATCCCCAGCCTCTGTCCCCTAGATGCCAGTATCATCCCCGAGTTGTGACAACCAAAGATGACTCCAGACGTTGCCAAATGTCCTGTGGAGTCAGAATCCACCCCTGCTGTTGAGAACCACTGCTTTAGCCCTCCATCTTTCCTTTCTCCATACCCCCACAGTCTGGCTATGACTCCCATAAATGCCAGAACCACTTGGATAATTGCAATTTTCAAAATACATCTATAATAATGTGAGTGCCCTGCTGGAAAAAAAGTTAAACAGTGTTAGGAAAAAACTAAACATTCAATTAAAACATTGTTTGGTGCTTTTAAAGACACACTGTTCATCATCCTGTCATTTGCAAGCTTTTCTTTAGTTTATTCTTGTCTTCTATCCAAAGCATATTAGCCTTCATTATTAAAGTTGATGATTGTCAGTGCAGCTTGGTTCTTTGTGCGCCACTCTGCTGTGTAGGAGGAGTCACCTTCTTTAGTTGTTTTTCATGGTAGTGTTTCCACACCACGTTTTTCTTCTTCTGTTGGGGGTGGAAAGACTGGTTTGAACATTTAGTTTTGTTTCTCCTTCTGGCGTAGCACTGTAAACTTAAGACTTCATGGTTGGCCCTCTTCAGGATCTATTTGGGATCTCCTTTCCCATTCATCAAAGGGGTCATTTTCAAACTTTAGTGTGCACAAGAATTATTTTGGGCTTGTTTGAAATGCACATTTCCCAGTGCCCCCCACAGGTTGATCAGGTCTGGGCCATAGGTCCCAGAATATGTGTGTTTCCAAGACACGCCAGGTGTGCAGCCTGCAGGCAGTGCAGATCATACTTGGAGACCCTGCACTGTAATCCCTAGCCCCCTTCACTACATCTCTGGAGACCTGTACCTCATGAAGTTACCATTTCCTGATATCTAGTCCCATTTTCTTCTTTGAATTCTTCTTTGAATTCTCTTGTAAAAGTTTGAATCAATGGATGATCACTAAATGCTAACTATTGAGGACCAGGCCTTGTGATGAACACTGATCTGAAACAAAGGAAAGA